CTGCTGCTGCTGCTGCTGCTGCTGCTGCTCCTGCTGCTGCTGCTGCTGCTGCTGCTGTTTCTCCCTCAAACGAGACTGAAGGACGTTCTCTGTCTGCTTCATTTGCTGCAGTGCGGCGTGCAGCAGCAAAGAGAGACAGCGGCTTCGCTGCGCCTCGTAAGCACACAAATTCGCCTCAGCCTGCAGCAGCAGCAGCAGCAGCAGCACGTGGAGCAACAGCAGCAGCAACAGCAGACAGAGAGGCAAGTAAAGAAAGATAAAGAAAGAGAAAATGTAACAAAGAGACAGATAAAGAGACAGATAAAGAGACAGATAAAGAGACAGATAAAGAGACAGATAAAGAGACAGACGAAGAGACAGATAAAGAGACAGATAAGGAGACAGATAAAGGAGACAGATAAAAATAAGTATTTAATCCGTACGTCTTTGTAGTCCAGGTGAGAAGCAAAAAACTGTATGCCTTCTTCTGCTGTATCCAATGTCTTATTAACAGCAGCAAACTCTATTGTGCTGCAGCCCCCTAACCCCAACAGAGACAGCACCGGCGCGCTGCTGTGCTGCTGCTGCTGTTGCTGCTGCTGCTGCTGCTGCAGAGCATCCAGCTGCGTGTAGTACTTCAGCCGCTGCTCCAGCAGCCGCACCAACGCCTGCGACAAACCCCAAACCCTAAACCCTAAACCCTAAACCCTAAACAGTATGCATCAATAGCACACAGGATGTGACGGTGGCCCGTGGGGCAGAGGTAACCCTAAACCCCACATCAACCAAACCCTAGGGTTTAGGGTTTAGGGTTTACTTCTGCTTGTGTCTGTCTCTGCAGCAGATAGTTTAAAGCCCCCTTAACCCCAGAAGACGAATGCAGCAGCGCCTGATGAGAGCAAGACAAATGTCTCTTCTTCTCTTGCATGCGTTCGAAGAAAGAAATAAAACAACTAAGTGGAGCCAGCAGACTCTCTACTCTGCACACAAACCCTAAACCCTAAACCCTAAACCCTAAACCCCAAGCGCTAAACGCTTGTACTTGGCGGCAGCAGCACGAACAGATCTTTTCCCTAGACACCCCAAAAAAACCCTAAACCCTAAACCTCAAACCCTAAACCCTAAACCCTAAACCCCAAGCGCTGCGGCATTCAAGGTGCCTTTCTAGGAGAACCCCAAGCCCAAAGACAAACCCCTGCAATAAAAAGTTAGGGTTTAGCTCTCCCCATCCATCAATTAGGGTTTAGGGTTTAAGGTTTATAGGGTGCTGCTAGTCGTACTCCTTCAAGGGTTTCTGCAGCTGCTGCAGCTGCTGCGCGCTGCGTTCATGAAAGAAGAGAGAGGCCAGGGAGTAGAAGTTTGTTTCGGTGTCCTGAGACGTAAATAAATAAATAAATAAATAAATATATTTAAAAAGAATGCATGCAGATAACATCAAAGACAGACTCATTCAGGTGTACGTACACCGCAAAAGAGGTACTGCGAACGCAAAAAGAAATATATACAAAGCTTACTTGCTCAGTGAAGACGCCATCTTCTCCTTCTTGCTGCTGCTCATCCTGCTGCTGCTGCTGCTGCTGCTGCTGGTTTAGCAGCGGCTTTGTCAGCGCGACATACCCCTGCAGACCCCCTGCGCCTGCCCAGAGGTCCTCCAGTAGTTCATCAGGGGAGGGGGAGGGCTGCTGCTGCTGCTGCTGTTGCATTTGCTGCTGCTGCTGCTGCAGCTGCTGCTGCTGCGCCTGCTGCTGCATCTCAAAGCGCAATGGCGCAGCGCAGAGGCGCAGCCGCGTACGCACCGGCAGGGGCCCTGGTCATAGGTATTAGGGTTTAGGGTTTAGGGTTTAGGGTTTAAGGAGTTGACTGCGCCTGGTTTATTTATTTAACTTAGTTTAGTTGTATTTATCTCTTTTATACAAAAGAGTTTATAGAGAAACATAAAAAAGAAATAAATGCTGCTGCATGCAGCTGAGATATATATAGGGGCCCTCCCTGCCTCCCCCTGGGTATGAAGGCGAGAGAGATGTTATATATTTTAGGGTTTTCTTTGTGTTATTAGTAGAAAAATAAAACAATTTAATAATTTATAATAAAATGAAAGAATTTATACTTAAACAAAGAAACAACAAAAAATATTAGCTGCTGCAGCAACACCGCAGCCGAAGCTGCCATGCATGCAGCAGCAGCAGCAGCAGCAGCAGCAGGGTGTTGTGTGTAGAAGGAAGGAAGTGGGTTGTGTTAATAATGTTTGTTTATTTGTAAGAAGAGCCTCAATATATTTATATTATTTTATTTATTGAATTATGTTGTTGTAAGAGAGGGGCTCGAGGATAGCCGATATACAATAATAATAAATATATATAATATCTGTTCTTCTGCTGCACATTGTTTATTGTTTTTCTTCATTGTACTCTGGTGCTGCTTGCTGCTGCTGCTGCTGCTGCTGCTTCTGCTGCGGTGTATATACACCTTCTTTGTCTGTCTGCTCTTCAAAAGAGAGCTTAACAACAACACCTCTCTGTTTATTTCTTTTCTTTTCATCTTTTTTTCTTCTCTTTCTTCTCGCTATGTACATATCTTCTTCTACTCTCTTACAATTAATCGTCATTATCTTAAGCATCCAATAGACTATATATTGTATGTTCAAAGAGAAGTTAGAGCTGGGGTGTATGGACGTACACCTGAAGAGATCTTAACATATTGCTTATTATTAAGATGCATATCCTACAAGAAGAAGCCTCTCCTTCGCCTATTCCTTTGCTTGACAACCGTCAAAGCTGCTTCAACCCTTCTATAAGAACTAATAATGCATGCAGAGGAGGAGATAGAAGCCCTTGGTGGAGGTTTAGAGGCTGGACAGGCTGCTGCTGCTGCGCCCCGCGTTTATTAATTGCTGCTGCTGCAACACTGATGGGCGTTTTAACAGGAAGTATTTACTTTGGGTGGAGCTCCTTGGCCTCTATGATGCTTAGCTCAGGTTCTTTTGCTTCTCTCTGCGATAAAAGGATAGAAGAAGGAGGCAGAGACACCCGAGAGCTGCACTCTCTACTGCAGCAGCAGCAACAGCAGCAGCAGCAGCAGCAGCAGCCAGCTCTGGCTTTGTGCGATGAACAGGAAGCTGCAGTAGAGCATCTATATTCAATAACTTTGTTTACAATGACTGCAGCAAGCCTAGCTGCAGGGGCACTCATGGATATGTGGGGGCCCCGGAAGACTGCTATATTAGGCTATCTAATGAGTGTACTGAGTTCTTTTTGTTTGTCTCTTAGCAGCAGAGTAGGCGATGTTTGTTTATATATTGGGTTTGTGCTGCTAGGCGCAGCAACAGACACTGCATTTCTACCCCTTCTCACCACCGCAAGACTGTTCAAAGGACATGAAGCTCTGCTTATTTGTATTCTAGGAAGTGCTGCTTCTGCTTCATTTGGTGTACCGCCATTGCTTGAGGCTTTAGCTGCTGCTCTTCGCATGCAGCGCCCTTTACAGATATTTGCGGTGTATGCACTCTTCGGCCCGGGGCTTTGTCTGCTGCTAGCAGCACTCTTCCTCACTAACTCTGGCTTTAAAGATAAAGAAAGCTATCATACCCAACATATAGACAATGTGCTGCAACTCCAACCGCAGCAGCAGCAGCAGCAGCAACAGCAGCAGCAGGGTCTAGACGGTGCAGCAGCAGCAGCAGCAGAAAGGGAGATTGAAACGGTGGAGGCAGGCGTGCAGATAGCTGCGCGTACACCCGAGGCAGCGTCTTCTTCTTGGATTACAGAGATGTTTTCTGCTGAGTTTCTTCTTGTTGCATTATATTTCAGCGTTGTCTCGTGTGCTATTGTCTTCTATCAGGAGGCCCCCAGCCGCTATTTTACGCCTGATATAGTGAAGATGCTGGAGGCTGTGCTGCCTCTATCTTTCTTACCTTGTGCTCTTCTAGGGTGGTTAACAGACAGCTGCGGCGTTATTTGCTTAATGTGTATTGTAACAGCCAGCGGAATAGGGGCTTACAGTTACGCATTGCTTGCAGACACTCACAAGGTCTTTGGTTGTCTGTCCGTCTTGTGCTTTACTGTCTTTATATCTGTCTTTACTAGTCAGGTTTTCGTGTATGTTGAGAGACGATTCCCACCGCAGCACTTCGGTAAGGTTATAGGGGCCCTGCAGCTTATAGGAGGGGCCGTGGCGCTGCTATGCAATCCTCTTTATTCTGCTGTTGCGGTGTATCACCAGCTTTCCCTCTCAACTGTTACGCGGTGTATCATCGCCTGCCTCGCTGCTCAATATATCTGGCTGTTCTGCCTCTGGCGTATTCAGAAAACAAAACCAATACAAGCAAAACATAATCAATGCAACTTACCAACAGGAGATGAGCATTTGATTGAAGACGAAAGATGAAAATCAATCCGCTTTTATTTATACTCTCGCAGGGGAGTCAACAAGCTGCTTTGTACAGGGGTTTTGTAGATCTGCAGCTATGCACGGCTTCGTCAAGCTTAGCAAGCCGTCGTTCTTATTCTTTTTTCGCAGCTTTACTTTCTCTTATTATGCACAATGTGCAGCGCCGCGTCAGAAATGGATTTAGCATTCGGTGAAATGCTGGGAAACACTTGAATAAATAAATGCCTGCAGCTGTTGGTAGGGTCTTTGTGCTCATGAATGAATG